TTTGATTCCCCGTGCTGTTCGCTATTTCTGCTAGGAAGAGAGGCGGACGATGGCATACAGCCCCAACAGCTGAGTTTGTCGCAAAGCCACAACGACGCACGTTATAGCACAAGAAAGTGCAGCTGTAGCACCAACAATGTCTTATAGGCAGATCATTTTTTTTTTTACAGATTTGTCAAGTCTTAGTCACGCATTTAGGAATTCGGCACGGCACAGCACAGCACTTTTTGTTTCATTCTAGCCCCAGATTTACTTTTTGGAATAGGCGACCTAAGCACATACAATACATTCAAGTGAGAGATCATCGCAGCCTTCGCGACTGTGCACTGGATTCCACGTCCTTCTCGTTAAAAATTTGCGTGAAATTGGCATGGTGAAGGCAAAAAGCTACCTGTAAGCACAAACAATGAGGATCTTGTTACACCTGAACTGTGATGGCCAAGATGTATTCCAGCATTTATGGGCGTGACTGACAGTAGAAATGAACGTTTGTGATTGGCACAGCGGCCGAGCAAGTTATTTAGCGAAAAGCAGCATTACTGGAAGTTTGAATATGTGTGTCACTGGACCACGTGATATGTCACTGGTATATCCCGGCTTTGAAAACGCATTCTTGCAACGAGCACAGCAGCCAAGAAAATTATGTTTTCACACGCAAAAATGCGCACGCTGTTAAAAGTCATAGGGGAGAAGTGAAAGTTACAGCATCACCACTCAGCCAAGACTCAATCTCTTAGAATGACGTGTCGATAAATTCGGTTAATAATAGCCTCATACTTGACTGCATTTTCCTTCTAGTCTTTCCAACATTTACATTTACATTTACAACACACCAACATTACATTTAGTCTATTTACTAAACAAGCATCTAGAGCAATGAGTGTATGACGAATATTACATAACGTAAATATTTGAAAATGCAAAGCAGCTGAAAAAACATCCTTATCGGGGCTCAAACTGTATCTCTTGGGGGGCATGCTCCTCATGTTGAGCTGGGTCCCCCAATGTTGGGCTACGCCCCTACAAAATCGGGCTGGACTCCAAAATATTGGATGTAGCCTACACAGGGTGGAACCTGGCGCTTAATGCTATCAGTTCTGTGCAATAAAGATAATGAAAAGTTCTTCTGACTAAAAATACATTTTAAACCCAAGTCTGCATTTGCATGTGTCCCTAAGATATGAAAAAGTTGAATTACTTCACTGTTGGCTCAAAATGTCCTTGTACTGTGCTGGTTAAATGAAATGCAAACACTTTAGAGCACTGTTAGTGAATGTAAACATCAAACGCATATTTGCAATCGGCCTCGTGTTGCACAGGTTTCTCTTGAGTCATGGACGCCCCAGAACCACAAGTGAAAGCCACAGACAACGTCCTACAGCTTTTGAGCGTACCACTAGGGGCGGATCCAGTATTTTGTCATGGGATGGGCCACCCTTGACGGTGGAAATGGAACTTGAAGGTTGGTGCCTCCCCTCTCACAAAGTTTCTCCGTCTTTCGGCCACTCCACTGTCAGATTCCTATTTTCTAAAGTCAGGAAACCATCGTCCCTCCGCGCATCCTGGAGGACAAGGCATGGGTAGGTATGTGTGTACATGGGTAGGTATGTGTGTACATGGGTAGGTATGTGTGTACATGGGTAGGTGTGTGTGTACATGGGTAGGTATGTGTGTACATGGCGCACGTTCATGTTTTTCCAGATAATTATAAACAAAATCAGGCGCAACACGACTCGACTGGCCAGCCATCGTCAATTTACGTACAAGAAATCCGGCAGAAAGCTACCTTTTGTAGGTCGCTAACCTTACAGGAAATGGTTGTGTGTCGTTGGGGCTTCACGACGCTTCTGAGACTTTGTGGCGATGCCTGCCTCTCACCCTGGCAGAACTGGTGGTCACCGTGGGGAATCGAACCCCATGACTTATACACAGCGTCTAAATCGTAATGCCAATAAAATGACACGCCAATATACGAATACTGCAATGCTGATGGTGGTGGCAGAATGCGGCGAAGCTATTGAGATTGGTAGGTTTTTGATACAACATACTTTCTCGTAGTCAAACATACCTACGCCCAGCTCCCGAAATATGTCTCAACCGTTTAGAAAATAAGAACCGTTTTGTGTCGTTGACGAGGAAATAATCAAATTTTATGCTCCACGTTTGAAGACTGCTATAGGAATAAGAAAATTGCCCAAATTATATCTGAGGAATGTGACTCGAATGATGCGCTTACAATATGAGATTCACAGATTTAAAAAAAAACGAGGGAAAATATGTATGCTGGGCGGCCGGCACGCATAGATACATTCCACTCAGAGAAAAAAAAATTGGAAAACGTGACTACTGCTACCTGACATGAATCTCCGACAAAAAAGGAAACACGGTGCACATTGTAGCACACCTCTTTAAGGAGCGCCAGCGACTGCAGGAGCCTTATTAGCACTCACGGGTCATGGCGCAGCCGGCTTTCGAATACCACCTCTCCCCGCGTGGGAGTCAAAGGTGCTAAGCACTCGGCCATCCCGCCCCATCAAGAAGGGATCTTTATGTCCTGTATCTAAAACTTTTATTATATCTGAAGTTTGCACAATTTTTTTGGTCATGTCAGCGCTAACTACATATGTCAGTGGGCACGCCCAGTCTTGTCACGAACACGCATTTTTACTGCTATCGCTCGTCCCCTCCCTAAAGGCATCTATCGTGAACAATGTTTGGCTCTCAAAAAGTGACGTAAAGAGTGTGCCACCAACGCGTGACTTACTTGGTAAGACTTTCATTCGTTGGCTGTTTAAGTGTGAAGCATTATCATTCCAACGAATTACAACTTTTTCCGCAACGCTTAAACGGAACAATTTGTTTGCGCGACAAGCTCTTAGATATGGATATTCGGCTGCATAAGTGCGTACTGCCGGGAACTTTACTTGCACTTCAGCTTCACCCTTACACTTTGCATTTGTTTGATAACGAACATATTCGACTTTTAGCGTTGCTACGTCACTCACATATATCCTCAACGGTGATGGATCTTACTGTAGGTATCGTCCGCTGTTGTGTATCTTGGTCCTTATTTTTTCAAGAACGTAAGATAGCAGAAAAGACGCAGGACAAGGAGGGGGGGGGGCAACCCTTCATATTGCCTGCGCTGACCTGAACTGTGGTCAGGAGCGCAACCGGTTATAGTGAGAGAAGGACTTCGCGAATGACAAAGGGTCCTTACTGGTGGAAAGGCAGCAGAGAATCCAATCCCGCCAAAATCACCCGAAACTGAGTCAGCTTATTTTTTTCCAGTGCTGGATAAAGCTAGCACAATGCAAGCACAAACATATGAACGGCTGTATGATACTGACAGCGTGCATCGGCTGTTACCAAACAACTCACTATATCACATAGTGGCAGAAAGTTCCTGGGCCTGCACAGGCTCGAACCTACACCATCATGATTATGTACGCCTCGCGCGGCAAAACTGACTGCACCACTCAGTCCGGGAAGAGCGCAACGGAAGTCAGAATACTGGGGGATTAGAGTGCAAGAAAAGCTTGACCCGGTATGATGCAAGAATCTGGCACCTCTAGACAAAAATACCACTGGATCAACGCAAAATAATGAAACTTTTTTGGCGTCGGTTGCATTGCAATTCGTGAGCCGAAATTTGATCTGCCGGTCTGTTTTCACATGCAAACCTTCAAAAATGGGCTAGTTTACACGGGTGGCGAGAGATAAAAGTATGCTGTCAAGCGGTAGTGCTGCCAACAAACCTGCATGGCTCCCCCTGGTGCTGGATACAAAGTCTCCAGCGCCAGTGGGAACCATGAAGGACATCATCCGCTCTGGACTAAGTCTCTAGCGCCAGAGGGAGCCTTGAAGGACATCATCCGCTCTGGACTCAGTCTCTAACGCCAGAGGGAGCCTTGAAGGACATCATCCGCCCTGGACTCGGTCTCTAGCGCCAGAGGGAGCCTTGAAGGACATCATCCGCTCTGGACTCAGTCTCTAGCGCCAGAGGGAGCCTTGAAGGACATCATCCGCTCTGGACTCAGTCTCTAGCGCCAGAGGGAGCCTTGAAGGACATCATCCGCTCTGGACTCAGTCTCTAGCGCTAGAGGGAGCCTTGAAGGACATCATCCGCTCTGGACTCGGTCTCTAGTGCCTGAGGGAGCCTTGAACGACATCATCCGCTCTGGACTCGGTCTCTAGTGCCAGAGGGAGCCTTGAATGATATCATCCGCTCTGTACTCAGTCTCTAGCGCCAGAGGGAGCCTTGCGCATTTTCGCCTAGCGCAGTGCCAACACATAGTTCAGGGAACCAGATGCACAGAGATGGAAACAGAGATCTGAGATGCACTGCAGCTGCCACATGTATCACCATCCGTAAAAATGGAAATTAAATAGGAGTTTTGACCATGTGGGTAAATCCAGCCAGATAATGCAAACTTTTAGCCGGAGCCAAATGGTGCGAAGGCCGCTATCAAGCCGGATAGAAAGCCCGGTACATTGCGCCATGAAAAATAATCCACCTACGCCATGCCATAAATCCATGCCATTTTAACATCTTTGCACTTCTCTTGAAAGTTAATGGTATTAGCTGTACATATGAATCAGATTGAAAGCGCTTTAGATGGCTTGGATCACATGTGACATGGGAGATGCAATGTTGGCAACAACAGCGGCTGCTGAGCATTTTGATGGTATGTATACCGGTCAGCTAGATCAAAGCCAGCTATTTAGCTTGTATGAATATTACTTAGCTTCCCATTTCAACGGAGGTAACAAACGGTTTACGTTCCATTTGCGAAAACTGAAAGCATCTATTCCCGGCTTAGAACATCTCGCTTGGCACAAACGGCGCAAGTTTCTAATCGCACAATGCACTATTAATGGTCGCAACCCATTCAATATCTCATATACGAAGCTCGACACACTTAATCTGGTCAACATATCCTCTCCGAAATACGCATCTGTGCGCTGCGCCATGCTCTGGAGGACCCATGCCTACTCACCTGAGCCTGCCGCCTCTTCCTCGCCGCCGCCACCGTGGTCGCTGCTGCTACTACTACTCGACTCCACTGGCGCTGTTGAGTCCATACCGCGCGGGCTCCACAGCACCATGTTCACTACAGCATTCCCGGCGTCCGGCTCCACTGAACACGGCCCGGATGGGTACGGCGGCCGAGCGGCGCGGCGCGGGTGGTCGTCGGCACGTGCCAGCCGTCGGCGTTCGCCAGCCGACACCCTCTCCGCGCATGGTGCCAGGCGTAACTGGCTGCCGCCCGCGCCCGCCCGCCGTACTATAGGCGGCCCAAGCCGGTACCGCGAATCGGGCCGCCTTATTCCGATTCATAAAATAGCCTGGGCGAAATGGGCCGGCGGCGTGCGCCCATTGGTCGTCAGGTGGGTGACGTCATGCACCTGACGCTGGACGGCTCGGCGCCGAGCGCCATGTAAGTAACGGCGGCGGCAGCGGCGCGTGCGCTGGATATGGGCGGACCTTGGCTGGGGTGGCACACATGGAGCGACCGTCGGTGGGTGACGGCAGCTGGCGGTCGGCGCGGTCGCGCTGGGCGGGGAGGGCCGCGCGTCTGCAGCACGAGTCACGTCATGGGCCGCGCTGGGCGGGGAGGCCGCGTGCCCGGAGCCCGAATCACGTCATCGGCCGCAGGGGGCCGACCTGCCGCAACACCCTCATGACGCAGCCCAACGCTGGTGACTCCTGAGACCAGTGCGGCACTGCCGTTGGTCGGTAGCGGCGCCGGCGAATGCGGTTGGGATTTTCATCCGGTTGCTGTTGCGGCAAGCCTCGGTCTTCGGTCGAAGCTGGAGCGTCGAGGTGGCTCCAAAGCAGCTCACGAACAGCCGGGTCCGTTTAGCGGTGGTCCAGCAGCTTGTGGGTGTATATTACCGGACGATAACCTCAAACACACCTCAGCTCGGATGGCCTCAGCTTAAGGACCCCATTGTCGAAACCTGCCCTCCCCATATCCACCACGGGGAGAAATACAGCTTTAGATCAGCTATAACAGCGTCGTGGAAACGCCCCAGAGGTCACGGGGTCAGAGAGTCTTTTTGAAGCAAATGATTTCCGGGCAGTACCACAAGCATTTCGTTAAAACGTTCGCAAAATGCAGGTGACTCCCCCCCCCCGCCCCTGTTCCCACGATTATAAGTTCCTTAAGGTTTGGTTCTATTGACTTGCTCCATCCCCAGCCCAGCTGGCTAATAAGCCCGATCACCTGACGCCGCAAAGCTGCCTGCCCGGCTGGCACCTTCTAAGCATTACCAGCAGGCTCTTTTATGCCCTTTCACTGATCAGACGAGTGCGATTGCTCTGCATGGATCCGCCAAGGACCTCCAGTGTCATACATAAATCCCAGTACGGGAATATGACTAATCCGGTGTGTACGTTGGTGACGGGTGACGTGTTGTGAGTGCTATGGGAACGGAGGAGAAAAGGCCGTCCCCAGCCCACGATCAAAGGTCATGCCATCAAATGTCGATGTAAAATGGTTCACCTAATTCGTTCCACCGCTCGGGCCAAACTAAGGCTGAGTACGGACTCATCGATTCCGCCTTCGTCTCCAGCCCCAAATATATAGTCATCACTGTAGCATCAATGTAACTTGATCTCCCATTTCGCGACGCAGCTAGGCGGCGAGCGCCGGCAATATGCTTTCCGTCCGGTGGAGCCTTCCTCTCCCACGGGTGACTTTCCAGCATCCGGCCTCGCTATCGGAAGTGGGTTTCCGGTCTGGCACGTGAGACTTCTTGAGAACAGATGCCATTGTGTGACGTCACTACCATACGTGGTATGTATGACGTCACATCCTGGCAGTTCACCGGCGCCGAAGAGGCGCGGCCGCCCGCTGCCGACTGGCGCGGGCGGCCGTGCAAGTGATAGAAGCCTTGGAGGCGTGCGCGAAACGACAGGCATTATGGGAGCATCGAGAAGCCACACGGCCTGGGTGGGAGTAGGGGGGGGGGGGGGGGGGAAGGGGGAGGAGTGAGACAGGACGGCGCGGTCGTGCGGTCGTTTTACGGTTTGCGCTGATCGGCGAGAGGGCATGGCTGATTGGCTGATGAGCTACGACAGCAGAAGTGGGAGGGAGCGGCCGTTTTGTGGTTTCAGGGAGCTTGCTGTGTATACAAAGGCGGGTTAGTGTGGTATGGCAGACATTTTGGGAGCGTGGAATTGTTGGTATCAGGGGTGTCGTTTATTATTTAGTTGGGGTGGAAACTTCACTGCTCCCAACTTGGGCCCTAGCTCCTCCGCCCCCCCCCCCCCCCCCCCACCCCACCCCACCCAATTTGGGAGGAAAGTGGGCCAAATCTGGGGAAAAATCTGTTTTCTGGCGTATTTAAGCGGCAGGTTGGTTTATTTTCCACCGTCCAGCCGCCCATCCACTCATTTTGTGAAACTACGTACCTGGTTTACACCACTGTGTATGAAAGTGAATGGAAATCATAACTAGATGAAACACAGGGAAGTCGGGCTGTTGCCCATTGGTCAAACAGCTCGCAAGTTTTGGCCTTTGCCTGCTGTCTCCGGCTGTTCCTTTGCATACGTGAGCCTAATCGATGTACGCTATTTTGCAGCCATGAGCATTGAAATATAATTCAAAAGAAGGCAATGGTGCTGATTTTGCGTTCGCCGCAATCTCAAGCTTACCCTACGGAGAAAACCGAGTCGTAAACAAAAACATATTTCTGAACAAAAACATATTTCTGAACAAAAACATATTTCTATCACCCACCTATCCCAAGAAAACTTGCCTTGTTAATTTGTCAATTTTCCCTCCACATTTGTTTAGTGCATCGCTGTTGACACCAGGATGAATGGGTCGGGAGGCTTTGCGAGGTCAGGAGGTTTTATTCGCTTTACTCGTCATATATTGTGTTGCCGTTGGGCCTCTTTCAGTGGCTGTATCGGCTGATTTGCATCTAAGCACGCATTATTGATAGAAGCGTTTTTATCCTTTTGTCTAAAGTACGCTTATGTTATATTTCCCATCGTTTCGTTACGTCCTATAATTTTTATACCCCTCATGAAAGCACCATCGCGTAGTAGGCAAAAGCTTTATACTTTGATGGTGTCTGAAAGCCATCGACGCTACTATTAAACGGAAAGTACCTAACAAAAAATGATGAACCAAAGCGTTAAAAAACCGCGGCACATTCCTTTGATTTCAAAGGTGGCCTTCTGGAATTTCAAAACTTTTTTATCGGACATCGGGACGCCGGGGTGTCGTATGCAAGAGCTCTAAACCCTAATGGTACCTGATAACCGCCGACATGACCATTAAAGGCATGACGCGAGCGAAACATCGTTGTTAACTTACAGCAACCAAAAGTTGCGACGTAGTCACCGGATGGTGTTATTTGTATTTTCACCGGGAGGTTCCTCTTAACGCTCCAATTACTTCCCAGAGTTCTTGCATCGCAAGGAATACAGCTAGTACTTATTTTTCGTTTGTTTAAAAAGTAGTTCACAGCATAAGATATGTGATATAATTTGTCATACTCATCTCAGTAAGCGGTGGCATGACACACAGACCTGTCATGTTTGCATACGCAAATAACGAATCGTTACAAGAGCGGCGGCCATCCGAGCGAGTCGTAGTCAGCTACACGGGAAGGTTTCAGCTTCAAGGGCCGAGCCAGGCCCGATCAGTCACGCTCTGTTTGACAGCCCTACATTTTGGTAATCACTGTTCGTTTCCGCCGTGCAGTTGTCGGCAAAAGGAACATAATTCGTGTTCTGGAATACTTTCGGGGCATTTGTGTGGAAGCTGTTTGGCCGGGCGTGACTTCCCTCCAACATTACAATCACAGCTTTACGTCCCCGTTTGATTAACACCTTAACGCATAGGTGAAAAAGTAATGCGGCTCCTGGAATGCGGTAGTCTATGCCAGCCTGGGGCTAGTGAGCCGCACTGAACCTTCATATTTGTCTTTTGCCTTTATATTTTTATGAAACCTTTCATCATGTTTGCGTCAAATGCACGAATGATGCTTTCGCCTGAGCACGCTGATCGTTTCGTTATCTTCCTCGTCCATGACGCACGGCTGGCGTAAGGCCAGCATTCCACACGCTAACAGCAAAAAGCATATCCGAAATAAAAATAGCCTATTATGGTCACTTGTAGATTGTTACCATCAGACTTGCGTTCGACTCAGATTTGAGTAGCCTAGGGACTTGCTCACATATTTTGGGATCCGATTCAACTCACGACTCATACCTGTTCCAATTTGTTTTATTCGACTCAGTTCAGACTTATTGTTTGCGTTGAGATATTTGAATCGCGAATCACGCAGGCTGCAAAATGAAAAGATCGAATTCAGTTCTGGCTTATATACATGTATATATGTGTGTGTGTGTGTGATCATAAGTATATATATATATATATATATATAAATATATATATATATATATATATATATATATATGCATATATACATAGAAGAAGTCAGATTTTCTTCCAAGGATAGCAGTCGCTTTCATTTATGTAATTCGTCAACGTTACGGGAAAAAGTTTTAGCACCTCTCCCTCCCCGCTCATAACGTCCCAAGACTAAATAAATATTTGTTGTTGCACTTCTCTGGACAATAGTCGATATAAATGAAAAATGTGCTTGCAAACCTGCTACAATGTTTTTACACTTTTCTGTCGCCTAAAATCATATACGTAACTTGCTTTACTGCTGGATCTTTCTTAACTTAAACATAAGCTTCCCGAATTTCCTGTCTATGTGGTAATTTATAAATATTGTTGTGTTTCGTGTAGAGCATCGCACGTAGGTTCAACCCTTCGTAATTTGCACTGTACCGTGCCACAACAGCTGGGATGGTCTGTCTGCACCGGTACCATTTTGGCAACCCAAGCCCTTTGCCCATCCGCAACCATTAATTTCCGTGTGACACTCATTTTAACACCGACAACTTTTCCGTATGAGGGCGTTGCAGCAGCTTTCCCCACCTCATGATTTTACAATCACTTTGTACACACCAAAGAAACCGCCAATGAATATCACGGGGTTTGTATATCCTTCGCAGATAATAAGGTAGCCTTTTTTATACGGAGTCGAAAGGATATTTCGTCGCGTGATATCTACGTTTTTCAAGCTGTCCCATTTATGCGCAGAGGTCGTGTTAAATTTTGTCACCTGTGATTGTTGTCACGTCAAGCGATGTCAGTTAAAGGTACATACATTCAACTCGTCTAACTCGTCATTTAACTCGA